CATCCAAAATCGAAGAAACCTAGACACAAAAAAAGTAGCAATATAGATTCCAGACAACCAAAAACGCATCCTTTCGATTTTGGATGTTTTGTTTGTTTACTTTGTTTCATGTCTGACTTTCTTTGCTTGGTCTGATTCATTGATCTATTAGGTTTTGTTTGTTTACCTATTTTATGGAGAAAGTGATATTAAGAAATCGTCGCTCTAGTCTTACTTCAATCTAGTTACAATGGATGCAATTTGCTGATTGAATATTTTCGTCTGATTCTCTAAAAATATCTCGCTCTCCTCTTTGTTTTGGGATTTCAAAACCTCTGCCTTAGTTATTGGCTCGTTAAGCTCCCGTCTCATCGTTTCAACAGTCTTGACTCTTGGTTCTACTACCTATTTTCAACTTTCTCAAGTTTTGGTTTGCAGATTTGTGACACAATGGATCATTTGTGTTATCTTTCTAAACTTTATAGATGAACAACTTAATTGTGTCTGCATTTTACATGTTTTTCAATAATTGACTACATTAAATAATGTTAGGCTTTACATTTCTTGCAACTTGCAGGATTCAGAGGCATGTAGACGGACTCCGTCCGGTTTGTTCTTATGAGGTTTGCTTTCTCCTTACCCTTCACCTTTTCTGTTACATTTAACGAGAAAATGTTGGCTTAGAAATCACAAAAGAGAGCCAAAATCGATAGCGAGTATTTAATTGCAAAAGTATGATCAATATAACAAAGTAAGAGAAGTTTAAACAAGCTCTGTTCTTTTCATAATCGCCGCGTCCGCTATTACTTTCAAAAGCTTTGCTAGTGGCAACAGGAAGTGACATTGCGTCTCCGTAATCACCATCGGCGATCAACTTTCCACAATCTTGGGCTGCAAGTAACTTATATTTTAAGTACTACTTTGCAAATGTTTTGGTCAAACGAAAGTTCAACAAAAGAATGTACAAAAGAAACGTACGAAATAATGATAATTACGTAACATACTATTTTTCCTCAAAAAAAAAGAAGAAACGAACTCTTTATTAGACATAACCATCCTCTGTTTCGAGCTTCACCATTAACTAAGGAAAGAAACAAGAACGACATGTCGTTTCTCAACAATGGTATAATAGTCTTTTCATCTATTATTTGGCTTATTTTTTTAATTTAAAATGATTTGGTGTATTTCTTTAATTTGTTTTTAAAATTGGCATATTTCCTTAATTCTCCTTTATTTTATTTTGTTTTAGTCTACAACTCACACACACTAACGAAATTGAACATGAAGCGGCAACGACACTAATACAGACTATCTTA